AGACCTGCCCAGACAGGTGTGAAACGCTGAGCGCGCGGTCTTGTACGGCCCACACGGGCTTACGGCGCAGGCCGTTAAAGATTCATGCCAGCCTCGGCACAATTATCATACCCCCCCCCCAGTTAAAAACAACGCAGGGACACGGAACAAAAGAGCTAAGAGCTGTGACTCCCGTTGTTGCGGGTGGGCGCCCATTCTCCTACCACGTCGGAATTCATCAACAGCCGCTGTGTAAATGGCTCCGCGGAAGGACTTTACAAGCCCCGCTGAAGCTTTTAATGGAAAGTCTGTTTAAACAACCCATTTACTGCCTGCTTAATAGTTAATCTCTCTGTCTGGCCTCATCAGAACTCATATACGGTTAGTACAAATATGGGCCACATAAATGCCTGTCGTGATTTATCACACTCCGTGTGAGTGGATACATGTATTTCCATATACTGTGTACCCAAATAAGTTTGCTTTGCGAAGCAACTAAATCGTTTTTCACTTCCAAAAGTACAGACGAAAACAAATCAAGGCCTAAGCTGCTTCTTGCTCAGATTATCCTGTTTCTGCTCTTCTGAAACGAGGGAGGTCGGGAATTTTTCCACGTTTCCCGTTTCTGAAAAAAAGACCTGGGTGGTCGGGCTCACCTGTTTTAGTTGGGTTTTTTTTTTACTTTTATTTATGTGTGGTTTCAGAAAATGTTTATAGGAAAGAAGCTTTGCTATTCTAATTATGTAGTATCGTTAGACATCTCGGAGCAACAATACTGGCACTGCTCAAAACACATCTACTGGTGCATTGTGAGCTTTGAAATGGAGGGTTTGTTTCTTGTCAGCGAATGCTCTTTGGGAGCCAAATGCCTTCCGGGTGATTCACAATGCCTGAGTTGGCCCCGCGTTCTTTAGCATTATGCAAACTGTGCATGCAAAACTCCTCAGAGATAGGAAGCCGGTCTTATCACAGCTGAATCACAGCTTCATTTATAGAGCCTGGTTAACCAGGACCAACAAGGTAAAATTCAGGGAGTTTCAGGGAGTCACCATCAGTGGCTGCATAGCAAACCTGAACTACCAGCCTTCCTAATGACAAATCCCACAACCAGATGGGTGAGACTCCGTAAATGTAGTTTGTCCTTAGTTTACCCCTGCCTGGGTGCTGCTTGGGTGTTATAGAAAGCAGTTGAATGCATTGAACTGAATACCCTAATTAAGGGATAATGGATCCATATTTAATACTTCAGGTCTTTAGTACCTGCTGTGTGTCACACAAGCCCACCCTGAGCAGTGAACCTTATAAGCTAGCCCCCAACCAGTGGTGGTAAGAATTCATAAATCTCAACTGATTAGAAAACTGATAAGAAGGTATTTGTGTGCTTAAGGTCAGAAAAGCATGTTCCACATTAGAAATCTGGATTACTCTTAAGTAAAACAACTCCATAACTGCAAAAGGTCTTCTTTGTAAGATTGCTCTGTGTTGAATGTTACTCAGATATAACCTAGGGATCACTTGCACACTGCCTTAGCTCCAATCTCCCTGCGATACTTGAAATTGTAAACTCTTGTTGTATGTGCAGATGAGCAATAACTGCATAGCTCTGCGACCATTCTTGCTCTCAGATGCTGAGCACGTCTAGATCAACTCAGTACAGGGGTCTAAAAAGCTTTCACAGTGACACTCTACAATAAGCCACTAGGTGTCTCTCTTCTCTTTGAAAGCCGAACAAGGAATGCAGTTAAACACAAACGGCTTACACACTGAACAAAGGCCCATCTAACCTCAGAATAATAAAACACCCTTGGCATTTCTTTGTGACACCAAGACATTTAAACTAGTTTGTCTTCTGGGAATTGAGAGCAAATGAATGTGGCCAGTCTAAACTGGCCCGTACGTTTTCGATTGGACCCAAAGTCCAGCTGCTCTCTGACGTGATTTATACTGGCGCAGGAAAGTGACCATAGCTGTGCTTCTGTGTTTGATCTGAACTTTAGCTGAACACGATATAGAAATAACTGCAGGTATAACACATTACAGCTCTACAGCCCTTGATCTTTGAACACGTCCCCACTTCTTTAACCAGTATGCTGGTGAAAGCTCATCTTGTACCTCAAACAACGAGAAGTGAACCAAAATTCACAGTCTCGAGAAAGCCCTCACAGCCACCAACACTGATGAATTCCAACACCGACACCATGCTGGCTCGAGTCAGAGAGATACTCACGATTTTGTCCGGCGGCGGAGTGCTGCCTATGAAGCACTTGACCTCTCCTCGGTCGCCCCTAACCGCAAACTGCACGGAGTCGCTGGAGATGATAGGGGGGCCTGGGAAGACAGAGAATGGGGTGAAAGGCCACAGCCATCTTGCTTAGTCTGGACATGTGGAAGGGGAAGATCTATCCAAAGACTACCTCTTTAAAGCCTGGGCGCAAGATTGGAATTATCCATCCTTTTTCGAGTCATTTTATCCAAGGTTATTCACAGGGCATGCCAATCCCAGCAAGCGATTAGCACAAGACAGGGTGTGCCCTGCATGGGCCTGTGAATAGACCTTAGGACTGAGGGAGGAAACCCATGTGAACACGGGGAGAACATACAAACTCCATACATACAAACTCCACACAGACGGCAGCCCAGGAATCGAGCCTAGGGTCCCAGCGCTGCACCAGTGTGCCGCTTATATATTACATTGCATATTAATATTTAACAATAATGAGCGCTTTTCTGAACACTCCACTCACAGCGCTTTACAAGTGATGGGGACTCCCCCCCACCACCACCAGAGTGCAGGCCCCACCCCCACCAAATGGGATGCCATGGTAACACCCCTACTCTTTTTGAGAAACACCCTGGGATTTTTAATGACCACAGAGAGTCAGGACCTCTGTTTTATGTCTCATTCAAAGGACGGTGCTTTTTTATACTATAGTGTCCCTGCCACTATACTGGTGCATTAGGACCCACACAGACCACAGGGTGAGCGCCCCCTACTGGCCCAACTCACACCTCTTCCAGCAGCAGCCTTAGTTTTTCCCAGGAGTCTCCCATCCAGGTACTGACCAGGCTCACACCTGCTGAGCTCCAGTGGGGCTGCCAGCTGGGAGCTGCAGGGTGATATACCTGCCGGCTACTTTTGAAGTAGGGTCTGCTGTACAATTCTAGCACTGTCCCTGGATGACAACAATGTCCTCTGGTTTTAATCTTATATTATGCCTTAATTATTTCACTGGCTGATGTATTAGGCCATTTATTACAGATGTGTTTCGAAACTGATCAGACTGGGGAATGGATGATTCAGTTGGCTGGTCAAAGTGCCGCAGTTCAAACCCATGATGATCTGCATCCAGTGGTCTTTTTTTCCAAGATTCCCGATTGTGTACATTTGGAAAACAAAATATCCACCAAGAAAAATGATATCCAAAGGAAACCGAGTGGTCTTTTCCTGGAGAAACCAGCATAGCACACAGGTATGTTTGATTCTGGAAAGGCTATATTCTGATTTGATCACGGAAGATAAGAATAAGTACACACAACTGATTCAGATCTTGCTGAAATATTTCCATTTTGGTTTTTTTTCCCCCCTGGCTCACAACTATAAAGTGCAGATCTGCAAGGACGGAGTGAGATACGGGCGGCTGGATCGCTCCTGATTTAATGTGGTTTTCAGTTCCGGTTAGTCAACATGTCAGCGTGATTCACGCAGTTATTCCCTGTAAACCAGATCTACAAAAGCAGCGTTAATCAGTCAGCAAGCCAGGCGCTGCCTCTGAGTGATGGAAGAAAGCGGGCCTCCTGGGAAGAGGCGTTTCATTGTGTATAACAAAGGGGAACCAAAGTGACGGGGATGATTAAAAACAGGTTGACTCGCCAATTAAGAAACGCGCCATGATGTTGATTAAAACCTGTAAATCAGAGCCCTTGCGTGAGCTGATGCATCCAGGAGTGCTGGGTGAGTCCTGCCGCCGGAAGGCTTCTGTGACATTTTTTAGTGGATATCCTGAGTCAGCAGGGAGATCAGAGGAGCAGCTCACAGCCAGGCACTTGAACTTCTCCTTGAAGGCAGCTGCAGAAGCCCTCTGCCTGACGCGACAGCTCTGCTGCTGGCTGTACAGGATCAACAAGGTCGGAAGGCCACACTGGAGCAATATGCGAGTGCATCTGCAGGCAGCTTCCTTTCCTTGTACTTTTTTGCCAGCAGCCCTATCACCCTGTAACTCCCAGCTGGCAGCCCCACTGGAGCTCAGCAGGTGTGAGCCTGGTCAGTACCTGGATGGGAGACTCCTGGGAAAGCTCAGGTTGCTGCTGGAAGAGGTGTTAGTGGGGCCAGTAGGGGGTGCTCACCCTGTGGTCTATGTGGGTCCTAATGCCCCAGTATAGTCCCGGGGACACTATACTGTAAAAAGGCGCCGTCCTTTGAATGAGACATAAAACTGAGGTCCTGACTCTCTGTGGTCATTAACAATCCCAGGGCGTTTCTCGAAAAGAGTAGGAGTGTTATGTCCCCTGGCCTTTACCCATCATGGCCTCCTAATAATCCCCCTCTCTGAACTGGCTTCATCACTCTGCTCTCCTCCCCACTGAGAGCTGGTGTGTGGGGAGAGTACTGGAGCATCATCCAGGTGGGGCTGCACACTGGTGGTGGTGGAGGAGTCCAGAAAATCGCTGAATATAAGGTTAAGCAATTATTATTATTATAGCTGGTTGCTGCTGGTTTCTTGTACCAGGGCTGCACACTGGTAGTGGTGGAGGGGATCCCCATTACCTGTAAAGTGGGGTGTCCAGAAAAGCAATAATGATGATGATGCTAATTATTACTGTTATTATTATTATTATGATTATGATTATTATTAATATTATTACCACTACCACTACTTTGGTAGGGATGGCACGAGCATTGCTGCCTCACAGCGCTGGGGCCCTGTGGTCATTTCCACACCTGGGGTGCTGTTTGTGTGGAGTTTGCATGTTCTCCCTGCGTCCACTTGGGTTTCCTTGGGGTCCACTGGTTTCCTCCCACAGTCCAAAGACATGCTGGTGGGTAAACTGGCTTCTAGGAAAACTGGCCCTGGTGTGAGTGTTTGAGCCTGTCTGCCCTGTGATAGACTGGTGTCCCGTCCAGGGTGTACCCTGCCTGCTGAGACAGACCCTGACTCCCCAATGACCCCGGGTTGCATGAAGCGATTCGAAAATGGATGGATGTTATAAACAGTGACAGCTACAGTCCACATTATTCTTAATACTTGACGTTGCAGAACAACAACTCAATTTTATGGAGAATAACAGCAAGAAAAGGGAAAATAACACACTTTCAGTCTGCAACAACCAATAAGAAACATACATTTCGGCACATGTACGTTTTGTAATTCACAAAAGGGGGATAATTTCTCAAATTCAACATAGTCACTCACACGGAGTGTCTATTCACTAAACATCTTCCCTCATTCCCAAGGATCCCATGGGAACACTTTTTTTAAGGAAAAGAGGATTGATTGTCCACAGTGACACACAATCGTCACACAGTACTACAAAACCTGAAGCAAATGAAGACAGTTTTTAGCCTGAGGGTTCCTGATCCTCCTACTTAAATATTTTGGGGCAGATAGGACCTTTGACCCTGCCTGATCGCTCAAGACGCTTTCCCGCAGGAACACATCGCCACGTCCACGAACAGCTCACACATACCGTTGACTGAGAGCGTGACCTCCTTCTCCCCCACTCCGATTCGGGGCACGATGGCTTTGCAGACGTACTGGCCACCGTCTGCCTGGCTGACCGACTTCAGGAACAGTTGGTTGTTGTTACTGAGGACCTGCAGGAGAGGGAGACGGGGAACAGAGAACAGACAGAGCTGAAGGAGATGCCGGAGACCCCGGATTCATTTGACGTTTGACGGTCACCATGACTCGAATGCCTCATCCCGACGGAGAGGGTGTCTGCGTTCCTCTGTGAGGGCTGTGAAGTGTGGTGGTGGCCTGGAAAACGAGCTCCCCGTGTGCTGAAGTGAGCAGGAAATACAGCTTTTTCGTCACAAAGCACTGCACAAATTTGGAAAGATCAATGTCCCCCAGTCTCCTTTTATCCATTTACAATAAAGTAAAAAAAAACAAACAAACAAAAAAAGTTATGGCCCAGACATTCTCTTATTTTTCTGGAGGTGTACCGCAGTAAAGTGTAGTAAAGTACATGGAAATAATGACAAAAGCATGGTAAAATATTAAGGGACGTGAGGAGACATTGATTTCATTGTTAAATAATGAAACCAATTGCAAATCCAAGGGGGGGGGGGGGGATGGTGACAAAACAGAGTCAAGATAAGAGTTAAGGGTGAGCTGCTACAAGTGAAAGGTCAAGGGTCGGGGGTCAAGGGTTTAGGGTAAAGGGAAAATGTTAAGTGTTGAGTGCTAAAGGTAAAGGGTAAAAGGGTTAGCTCATGAGCAGCTCTAATGGTTTAAGACAATCCCTGGAAGATGCCATCTGTATGAGAGAGTCGGGACAGATGAATGAGTCAGTTCCTTTACCATGTTAGATCCCTTCTTAGTCCAGGTAAGAGTAAGGGGAGGGTTCCCAGACCATTTGCAGTTTAGGGTGACGTCTGAGCCGATATCCACAGACGTGGGCCTCGGCTCCACTACTAACACTGGTCCAACTGTAGAGGGAGAATGAGAGACAGAGGGAAATGTTGATTCAGGTTTAATATGAATGTTTGTTTTATGATTTTCAAGAAAATTAAAATTCTGGAAACAAGATCCATTTCAAATACTGCTTTAATTCAATTTGGTTGTGATTTTGAATGTATAGGGCTGTTATTCTTGAATCCTAGATACAACTAGTTTTTATCTCAGTTTAAAGTTTCTAAAGTAGTGCAACACACAGTATATTTTTGTCTCTTTAAAGAAATGCAGTCTCTCTAGATCAGGGCTTTCCAATCCAGGTCCTTCTGACATCATTATCTAGTGGGTTTTGGTCCATCTGAGCTCTCCTGATTATTTATTTGAACCTACAAGTTTAGCTAATCCATTACAAAATAATACATCTCTGAATTATTTTTAACTCTGGAACTGCAAGAGGATTCAGACTCCCTTCAGACGTTTGCATGGCACATGAGAATCACATTATTTTCGTGAAAATTATTCATTCAGTTTAGGTAAGACGA